AGCCGATAAATTAAATGACGTGGATAGTTTTTATTTATCGTGCGATTAATTAATTTATTGCTTATCGTGACAGGCCTAGACCTAACCGCGCTAAACTGGTACTAGTTCATCAGTAGGGCTCGGCGCAGATCAGTTCTGGGACGGTTCTCAGATAACAAAGGGCGCATCAGCAGACCGCATCCTCTCCTTACAGTCAGCCTCCGTAATCAGGAAATTTTAGACATTCATAAAAATACTAGCTTCGGTTAGCTACGGTGCCACATGATCAGCCATCTTGATTTGCTTGATTCCCACTAGAGAGCATTAGTACCGTAGATGGTCAGTAGGAGGCGAGGAACCGTGCTAGCGTGGTGTGTAAATGGTCGTAAGGAATTAAGCTCGGCACGGTTAACTGATCCAAGCTTGGTCCGAACTCGGCACGGATCGGTTTCAGAGTAAATGGAACTATTCTTTGCCTTTGGGATATCTGTCTTTGTCAAATCATAGTTCCGGGTACCTGAAAATAAATTTAAGGTCTCTTGAATGATAAGAACATTTATTCTACTTATACCATAATCAGACATATATTTTTAGGTTAATATGGCAGATCAAAAATCAGTTCAATATGTCTGTAACTTAATACTGGTAAAGATGATTTAATGTTAATGCCGCCTGCCATATTTACTCCTAACATCACTAGCCAATAACCATTGAAATATTTCTGAAGGAGACTAGATGTTCTGTAGTAAATATTTCTTTGCACATTTACTCCCAAAGAGAGCAAAGGAAAGCAAGGCTCGGTTCTGGTTCTAGTTAAGTTTAGAAAACGGTTTTCCACCATCAGCATATTGGCCACAAACTGCATCTTGTGTCTTCCAGCCATCAGGACGTCTTGTTCTTTCCACCAAACTGATGAAACTGTGCTGATTTAAAGCAGCCCTCCACTGCGTTTCTGATCTGTTAGTTTATTGGCAGCGATATAGATGTTAAACAGCACATAAAAAAGAAAGTGGGGCTACAGTAGAAAGTGGGAAATCTTTAACACACTTTCTACACATAGAAATAGAACTTTGTTGATCTCACAATGGAGAAATTCACTCTCTGCATTTAACCCATCCCCTTGTGTAGCAGTGGGCTGCCACTGTGCTGCGCCCGTGGAGCAATGTGGGGTTAAGGGTCTTGCTCAGGGACCCAGAGTGGAGGCTGTGGATGTCAAACCTTGTACTTGCAACCTTCTCAGAGCACAAGCGCATACCTCTAACCACTAGGAGAACACTCCCAACTCCTTGAATTATCAAGTGAGGAGTGTCATTTATTTCCTTTGGTCGTTGAGGTACTTGTCTTTTATAGGTGAAACTGCGTTTGTGACTAAGATAAGATGTGTAATTATGAATGGCATGTTAATCATATCCAAATAATCTTCATACCTTTGCTCCCTGCTCTATGTATAGAGAACAGATTACAGCTGCATGTTAGCAGCCGAACTGTTAGAACGACTCATTTCTGTCTTTCCTGCTCTTCTTTCACAAATGTTTCTTGAACGTTAAACCTGGCGAAGGTTTGTTCCCCATTTTAACACATCCTGAAAGCAAACAGATTCTACAGTTATGTGCAAACGTGCAACGTCGACCCGGTCCTGTTGCCTAAGCTTTTACTTCACCCTAGATATCTGGATTTTGGCAGCCCGTAAGGATATTTGAACAAGATAAGCAAATGCCATCAGTAGCTGAAAGGAATAAATCAAAACTGTTGGATGATAAGGAGTTCTGTAATCATCTCTGTTCCTTTTTAAAATTCAAATCGGTTTATTTTTATAGCGCCAATTCACAACACATGTCATCTCAAGGAACTTTACAATTCAACCAGATCGTACAGTAAAATTGATTTTAAGTTTTTTATCTAAAGAAAACCAGCAGATTGCATCGACTCATTGACTCAAATGCAATCCCTCACACTAAGCATGCTTGTGGCAACACTGGAGAGGAAAAACTCCCTTTTAACAGGAAGAAACCTCCAGGAGAACCAGGTTCAGGGTGAGCGGCCATCTGCTGAGGCCGACTGGGGTTCAAGGAGACGGAAGCAGACATAGAAAAAGAAGCAAAACGTAGCTGTAAACCAGCTCCACAGGCGGCACGGTCCAAGAAAGACACACAGCCAGGCAGACGAGCTCCGAGCCAGCTCCCAAATCAGAGGATGAAAAAGAGCACATCTTCTAAAGGTGTCTTCTAATGCGACGTTTCGTTCTCAGTTTTGAGATTTTTTTTCTTTACACATTGGCCCCAGCAAACAATAGAATAATAAAAAAAAATTGTTATCGAAATCTACTTACTGGCAATGAATCTGGTTTTCTGTATATCGATCAGGCAAAAACACAAACCGTTTAGAACATTACTGCCTTCATGTGCTCTAGGCAACCATCGCTTCTTAAATTGGGTCGAAATTGTAAAGACAAATCCTTAAAAGGTATACTTTTCAAATATTTTTCTTGAAATAAATCTACCAGTTATCAGATAGGAAAATGGAGCTCATTCAAGTCTGTCCAGATGGAAAAAAAACAGTGAAATGAGGCTCTAAAACTATTGTCTATTATAAAAGTTAACTCCTCAGTTCACAAACATCAATACACAGATGTAATAAATCCAATGTTTGGCATAAACTTTATCCTGCTGGATCTAAAGATGTTGTCAGAGATGGATGAAGTTAAACAAATGCAGGATAGAAATGTCAACAAATTCTAATGTATAGAACAAAGTGCAGCTATTTAAAGCCACCTTATTGCAGTGTCACAACCCTTTTTTCTGAATGCCTTTAAAAGACAAGATTACTTTATGGGTAAAATAAAATACACCCTTGGATTCAGTAGCTTGTAAATGATCTGTTGGCATCATTAGCTTAGAGTAGTCTTTATTTTTAGGACTTTATGAGTCTATAGACTTTTATTCCGTTTTTTTTTTTCAGCATTGCTCTTTTGTTTTTGTTTTTTTTTCTTTTTTTCTGGCATTGCTTCAGTCCATTCTTGTTTCAAGGTGTTGGTTTCTCTTTTACGGTCCTACATTAACATTTCAATCATTTACCGAGTCGACATCGTCTATATTTTAGACCAAACAGATGAGATACACTCCCTTTTATCCAATTTTGATGCATTTTTGAAAATATTATTTTTCCTTTTCAATCTTTGTTTTTAATTTTATTTTATTTTTTATACCCAATAGTTTTAGGTCATGTGACTGACTGACATAAAAAAAGAGTCAAATAATCAAACTAGAAAGGACAGATGATCCAGATTTGTTTTTACCAATTTAAATGAATTTACTATTTAATATCAACTTTTAAAATGGAGAAACCGGTTAATTAGTTTAATTTTCTGTAATTATAAAATCATTTCATTTATGGACAGTTCCTTAGCAAATCAGGATGGAGCTGCTGATGCTGATCCTCCTAAGTTACATCACATCCCCACTTGCATTAACCCCTTTTTAAGCTGAGGAGGGCGCCACACGGGCGGTTTTAAGGCAACGAAGTAGGATTTTATATGATGTGCTGTATTTAACAGCAAATAAAAAAAATGATTGAAGAATTAAATCATTGTTTAAACATCTCACAGCCAAAGTTATCTGTCAGAGCGATGGTGTTCAGAAGAACCAGCCTCCTAATAACGGAGCAGTGGGTAAAATCCCCACTAGTAATGCTCTAATAAATGCCACTGATCTTTTATAAAATGAGGTGGAAGTTTGAAATACGTTTTCTTTTTTTCCTGGTCTTGTTTGTTCAGGTCTGAGTGGAAGATCGGCCCACAAAGGCATGGCTCAGTTTCAGGAAATGATGCGCCAGCAGCTGGAGAGCTCCATGGACGCCGAGCTGGAGAAACTGGTGGACACGGTCACAGGGGCCGACAGAGACGTACGTCAACACCCTGTCTTCACCCCTCCCTCTCTGTCTCTCTCTCTCTCTGTACATCTGGTTGTGATTTAAAAGAGCTGACGCCATGTAATGCTGGGAAACCTTAAGATGTGACACACAGCGTAGCATAACACAGAGCAGGGTTACGCCTACTGAGGCTGTTTCACTTGAAAAATCAAACTTTTCTGTCAATCTTTGAATTTTATTAAATTTCACTGAGATTTGCAATTGAGTCAGATGTCAGAGCACAACATGGAAGGTGAAAGAAAAACTCCAGTATTTTTGTTTTAATTTATGTAAAGTAAATCTTGTGTAAAGTACACATTTTACGTCGTCGTTGGCTGCAGCCTCTTTCAGACCTTCAGGGGGCAGTAATGAGCATCAGGCAAAATAAACTAAATTGTGTTTTTTACGTATTATATTTTTAATAGAAGGAAATGCACAAAAAACATCATTTAGCAAATGTTTTGTGTTCCTATGCAATCACATATAGCAATTGTAAATAAATGCTAAATAAAATAAAATGCTTATTTCGAATTGGTTTAAAATTACATTTTCAGTTTATAGGTGTAAATATTGAAAAAAAATTATATGAATTAATCTTTTTGTTGCACATTTCCTTTTAAGTCATGGGTTAAATATGATGTAATACTTCTATTTCTCATTTGATTACCATGATTTATATCACAAAAATTATAATAATCTGCTTCTCTATGTTATTCCTAAAGAAAAAAGCTAAAAAAAAAAATTAAAAAAAAACGTGTTAAACCATAGAATAATCAAACAAAATCCTCTGTAGATATTACACTGAAAACGCATTTATTTTTTTTATCTATAAGTCGTTAATTTTCTACATTTCAAGCTGAAATGCTTCAGTGCATCTATAGAAAGTTGTTCTTTTAGTAAAAATGAAGTTTTGACTTTTTTTTCCCTTTCCACCTCTTCAGGTCTGTAAGAAGGACTTTGAGGGTTTCAAGAACCTCTTCCACAGATTCCTGCAGGTTAAAGGTCCGTCTGTGGAGTGGATCAAGATCAAGAGGCCTCCAGAAGACTCGGTAAGTCCAGATTAATCTGCTTTAATCAATAATCTGACCGGATTTAGCTTGGATCTATTTCAGGATTATATATTAATGGTATCTTTCTGGAAGCACCTCTTCAGGATGTGCTACTCATATGTGACTGATGCAAAAACAAAAGCAAAAGTTAGAAACTATAATCTTATTATAAAGTGTCAGGAAAGCCTAAAATGCATAAAATCTAAAGGTTGAGAGTTTGTAGAGAATAAAAAATAAAATCGCTTTCTGGAGGTGGACCAATACCGATATATTATGATTTGGATTTTTCTATTTTGTCTTGTTCTCTTGTATCGGCCGAAGTGCAAACATTGTCATTTATTAATTAAAGTTCCTTTTTCAGTTGGAAATAGAGCTGATTAATCGATTATGAAATAATTGTCAACTAATTTAGTAATCGATTAATCGTTAACTGGAATATAGAGACTCTAAAACGTGCATTTAGCGGAAAGAGCAACCCAGCTTAGAGTAGCAAATATACCAAGATTGTAAGAAAAATATGTAAACATTTTGCATTTAAGATAAAAATTGCACAACAAAAATTTTTGCAAAAAATATAATTTAGCAAATGTTTTGTATTCCTATGCAATCCCATATAGGAATTGTAAATAATTGCAAAATAAAATAATATGCTTGTTTCGAATTTGTTTAAAATCAATTGGTTTACATTTTCAGTTTATAGGTGACTATAGGTAACTAAGTTAGTAATCGATTAATCGTTAACTGGAATATAGAAACTCTAAAACGTGCATTTAGCGGAAAGAGCAACCCACTTAGAGCAGCATTTATACCAAGATTGTAAGTAAAATATGTAAACATTTTGCATTAAAGATAAAAAAAATATATATATCTTTCTCTTCTATCAATATGCTCTATCCAGAGCTCCTCAAGTGGAAAAGTTTTATTTTCACCTGCTTTAGTTTAGTAAAAATCTTCTTTAAGGAACCTTGGGCTATCTGATTATCGAAAAAATATTCAACACATTTATCAATTTGTAAAATAACTGTTAGTTGCAGCCCTGGTTTGAACTGACTCTGTGTTATTATCATGTGGTAGGATGGGATAAAAGTTCCATTACAAAAGTTTGCTTCTGCAGAAAGCAGGAAATCCTTCAGAAGATAACAATCAGAAAAAGGTCCGGTTAAGTTTCGCTCTGATAAACACATTGAGACCGTGTACTAACCGGAAAAACAGCTTTGCTCTTAGTCGGAACAGCCAATGCTGTTAAATTTCATCTCCAATCTAGGCTCCAGTATTTCAGGTTACGCAAAGTAGACCAAGAAAGACTGGAGGATGTATCATATTTTTCCCATTGGTCCACTTCTGAAACATCAATGCTATTTATGTTGTTATGACAACAGCAGATACGATGGGTGAGTCCTCCTTCACTCGTCAGTCTCTCCTCAGCCTGGAAACAAAAAACAACCCACTTTCTAATTAGTGAAGATTAAGTAATTATGAAGCAGAGTGGATTAAATCAAGCTTGAAATCCAATGTGATTACTCAGTATCAACGATGTGGGCAGGTCGTAAAAAATGCAGCCTCGCTCCTTTGATAGAACTGATGATGCCTGAAGGCTTATACTACCTGACTGCAGAGAAACACGTCCAAACGATCGTCTCACTTCCTGGAGGTTATTTCATGGTTAACTCCTGAAATGATCATTTCCTAGAAGCGTCAGCAAAACTTCATGTTCCTGACATTTGTTTAGATTTGTTCATGTGATTTTCCAGGTTTTTAGATTGACCTTAAGGAAGTGAAGTGTGCCTATTCTCTATTTAAAATGGATTAATAGAGAAGCTTTTTTATTTTTTAGATAAATTAAGTTTATTTTGTTCCATTATTGTTGTAATTTTCCAAACAGAAACTCCTTAATGAAAAACAATGGACCTTTCTTTTCTTAGATCTTATTTACATGTACTTACTTTAATTTATCACATTTATTTTAACATAAAAATTTTCAAATTTCTCTTTTTTCAGATTGAATTTGACAAATTGCGTTCTTTTCAAACCGCATTTTCCAGATCAGGTTCTCTTCACTTCTGAGGTCGGGTTTCCTCTGGAGTGAAGAGCAGAGACCTTTTTCTATTGGTTTTTTAATCCTTTTTATTATTATTTCTATTTACAAAATGTATTCTTTGCTTGCAAACAATGATGGAATAAACTTTCATCCATAAAATCATCCTAGCTGCATTTTCCTTTTCTTTGAAAGCACTACATTTGTAAATGTAGACATTTCATATTTATTAATATTTCCAAAAGATGTTTCGATTAAAAAGTGACCAAAATTGGTTTAAAAATAATCTAATTTGCTAATGATAATGTCCTTAAAGTCAAAGCTTTCTTTATTTGACTCGGGGATAAAGTTACTAACAGATCATCCAAACATTTATTTTTTTTCTTTGCTACCTAATTTAAATAATTAAGAAACAGATGTTTAATTCAGCAAAAATATCCTAAAACATTTTGAAATATCAGACTCTGCAGACTCTGCAGACCTCCTCTGCCTCATACATTTCAATGCCGTAGCATTGAAATGTATGAGGCAGAGGAGGTCTGCAGAGTGATACAAAGCTCTGCTCCAAAAGAAGCGTAGATCTTTAAGCGCTTCGAATCATGCCAACACAAACAGGCCCATAATTTTGTTCTGAAGAGATCTGATCTTCAGTCCGTCTCCCTCCTTCAGATCCAGCCCTACGATAAGATCGCAGCAAGAGGTCTGCCGGACAGCGTGGCCGACAGCCTGAACAAGCTGGTGGTGGTGAAGCTGAACGGAGGTCTGGGTACCAGCATGGGGTGCAAGGGCCCCAAGAGCCTGATCAGCGTCCGCAACGAGAACACCTTCCTGGATCTCACCGTGCAGCAGATAGAGGTGCAAGATCCCTTCCCTCCCCTGTCCTTCCTTTCTGTCTTCCTCTTCTTTAGCAGCCAACACGAACCTCTGCCTAACTGTTTAATTAGTGGAAGCAATGTAAATATTGTTATTTTTCTTTCGTTGATCTGAAATCAAGCTACCTGGAACATTTCTGATCCGTCCCTCTTCACACACAGAAGCTGTGCAAAAACTCTTTTAAGGGAAACTTTTTTTAACACAGATAAGCAGTTAATGTGTTAAAAGCTCCATTTATGATGCAGAGGTTTTAATCATTTTTCTTAAACATTTAAAGTAAACACAGCTCAGCTCCACAGGTCTGGATGAGATGCTTTCAGCCTCTGCAGCTTCAAGAGTGAAACTCTTCTGCCTTCTATGTGTAGAAATTTGTACCTTTAGAAATTATATTTAAATTTCCCTAACTGGGATCTATATTCACGTAATCTGACATAAAATCCATTAGTTTGAACATTGAAATTATTAGATTTGTAAATGTATTTTGGTGCAATGTACATTTTATAATCCAATCTAATTTCCTTCATTCGGGTTCTTTGTGTCAGACAACCAGGGCAGGGTAAACAAACACAGATTGACGGATTATAAATGGACGTGTTTTAAAGGAATAGTACACCCAAAACATGATTAGCCTTCATTTTCTACTCACCCCCATGCTGAACAACACTCTGGAGTACTTTTTTTGATATCTCAAATGCATCTGGAGATCTGGGAGGCTTCTTGCTGTCTGCTGACATTCAAATAATGGAGGTCTATGGCGCCCGAGACAGAAAGGTCCATAAAAGTCCACAAAAAACGTGTCAATATTCCTCCATACTGCTCGTCCAATGTAATCCAAGTGTCCTGAGTGGGTAGCATCCAGAATTTACTCGAAACGAAGTCATTTAGAATGTTTTTAGAGCATAAACAGTAGTGTATAGGATTTCCTTCATTTTCATCACAGATGATCTCGCTCTCCAAATAGAATTGAACGATTCAGATTAGCTAGCCGAATATATAAGAGGTAGAGCGTATCCGGCTGGTGTAATGTACATTGGTTAAATAAAGTTTTTTTTGAAAAAAAAAAAAACTCCAGTTCTGGGAGCGAAACAAAACTCATATGGGTGAGCAGATCATGATGTAATAACATCAAATCAAGGGCCCAATATAAAAAATCCGAAATTTCCCTTTAAAGTGATATAGTGGTTAGATTTTATCTGAAATATCAATCCATGAATCTGTGTTCGATTACTCCAGGGTTTAAGGGCCTGACTGTCTGACACAAAGAAAGGCAATTTACAACTAAAAATGTCTTAGTTTTTAAATTCAAATCATTAGACTGAAAGTAAAATGTAACAATCCCGTATTCAATCCGGCAAAGTTTAAAAGGAAATTAATTCAGTTTCAGTTTAATGATATTCGTTTTTAAACATAGGCATTCAATTGTAAGTTTAGCTTTCCTGGGAACGACTGCAGTCTCAACAATGGTTTTCCTCGAGGCACAAAAACCAAACAAGCCTGATTGTGGATCCGCCTTTACCGGGAAACGGTGAATAAGCTCAGTGACGCCATCATTGCTCAATCTTTGGCTGCTAGTTTCAGTTCTTCCAGGCTACCAGCCTCTCTGTAGCCATTTTTCAGCTGCTTCTTTAGGAATCATCATGGAGCTCAAAATCCATTCTCTATTGGCTCAATAGTTTGGATGTAATCGGCTGAAAACATTTGAAATTTGTTCCTTGTGGTTTATCCTTGTGGCTAAAAGACAGGGTTTTAAATTATGGAGGGAATTTTTTCCCCATGTTTTGTCAGTCGACATTTGAAAATGCAATCCAGAAATAAAACTTAATTTAAAAGGTTTTTTTGTATCGAGATTTTTTCTATTAAAAAATAACTAATATTTTTAAAGAAAATCTATTTTAGAACATTTCATTCTTTAACCTTTATTTATTTTTTTACAGATTTTATATTTTCAAATTTCTTTTAGATTGAGTTTTTGCGAACTCTATTCATTTCAAATTACCTTTTGAAGATCAGCTTCACTTCATGCTTAATACAAATGCTCACTGCTGACGACCAGCAGACCAATAGAAATGCCTCTTTGCTCCTCAGAAGGGAGGAGAATGTGATCCATAAAATACAATTTGAAAAAAATGCAATTTGTAAAACTAAAACTAAAAAATAGAAATTTGAAGAAAAAAAAAAAAAGGCTGTTTAAATAATAAAAAAAAAAAAGTTACTAAAAAAGCTTTCAAGAAAATAAGTTATGGGGGGGTGGGGGTCATAGAATGCAACAAATTTACTCCCAAAATCTTTTCTTTTTTTCCAAAAAATTTCTTTTCTGGATTGCATTTTTTTCTTAAGCCATGGTAAGAGGAAATATTGTAAATTTGCTTGCTGCAATAACGGAAGAAAATTCCCTCCATATAAAATCATTCCTCTGCAACATTAACCCAAACCCGTGTTCGGTTATCAGAGACGAGCCCACATGCCGCGTACCAGGAAACGTCCCCAGAAAGATGCTAAATAAAGTATTAATCCCAGATTGTGGGACAGCTATTAAAGACGAAATAAACAAGATAAAAATAACAGCTGGTAGAGATTTATAAATGTAAATGTCCTCATCCTGACATGCAGGTCTGCTGCTGCACCAGGGAGGATAGAGTCTCTGAAATAAACCATTGATTTTTACTAACAGAGCCCAAAGTGAAAACTGTACGGTTCCTCCAAACTCTGCAGAACTGTGAAACTGTTCCAGTTTTAAACGCTTGTAATGGATGACTGCTTGTTCTTTTTTCTCCGTTTGACGTAGGGGAGATGAACGGGATCTGCTCTGCAGCCATAAAATATTAACATCCAGTTCAGTCCCAGAGGATAAGCTCCAAAACACGAACGTGGCTTAAAACTATAAATATTTCTATCTCATTTATCTATTTAAAAACAATATTTTTGACTTTAGACATCTGGAGCTTTGATTAGAGCTTCAACGACCAGAAACATCTTCTCCATGTTTGACTGTCTCATATTGCACGCATGCTCCTCTTCCAATAAACCCCCATTTTATTCACAAGCATGTGAACTAAAAGCATGTGTTTATGTCGACGACGTGGATTTGTTCCTTCTGGCTGTTATGAGTTTATATTTGCTTCCCTGTTGGAAGAGAGCTGATTATTTTTGAAAGGAGTCCAGTGTGATGTTGGTGAGGAGAAGCTGTGAAAGGGGATCCGCCTGGCGGGGGAAACAGAGACGGCTGTGTGCCGGAGGAGAAGTGAACCCGACTATTTAGACCCCCGCATGGAGCCTGCAGCGCTGCAGCCGAGCTCTGGGCGAACATTTGCAGTGAAACACCTTAATCAGTCACCGCTTTTAGAGAGACGCTAAGCTACGCTTAAATTAAAGCAGAATTTGAGTGGGTTTTATGTTTAACAAGAGATTCATCCAAACATGATGAACTCCAGCTTTCAGCCCAGGTCGACTCAGATTACCTGCAGTCTGAATACTGCTGTTCAGGGACGAGAAAAGTGAATCAGACAGACTCACAAACACACACACACACACACACACACACACACACACCACTAGGAGACTAATGCATATATTCCTGATCATGGAAATAAACATTTGCGCATCATACGCCATAAAAAGATTGGAAATGATTTTCCAAGCTGAAAACATTTTAGCTTTAAATGAAAAAATATGAATTGTAATAAACATCTTTAGCTGGCTTATTGAAATATGGCAGTACATTTTTCATTTTTAAAGTACTTTCTGTTTGCATCCGAAAAGACTGTTTATGCTATGATATAACAACTGTTTTGTTCTAGTTATGATTTATTGGTGCCAAGGCACTAAAATTTTATGTATTAATGTAAAAAATTAATGTAGTGAGAATAAACTCCAAAAGGAAAAAAAGAGTCCAGTTTCTATCTGTGGCAATCATCATCTCTCCTCCACAGTCCACCTACAGTCAACATACTGCGGAGCAAAAGTGTAAATCAAGCTTTTGTTTCAGGTGTTTGCAGAACATTTGGAAGTGTTTGTGCACAGGGGCGGACCACGGTACTTGGACAAACTTCTATAGAAAGGTGGCCATTAATTCAGCTCATTACAAGGGACCACTTGTTATAAGTGGGAAGCCACGCCCATCCCAGCTTCACCCCATTGAGTCACATCCTGAATCTGTTTCTGACCCATGAATCATTTTAATGTCCCCTCCTAGAGCCAGAACATCTCCCAATTTCTTCTATTTTTCCATTATTAAAAAAAAAATCTTTGAATAATTCTGACAGTACAAATACTACTAATTTATAAATTATTTTTTTGTGAATTAATTTAAACTTTTAGTTTATCAATTCAATTCAGTTTATTTCTATAGCACCAATTCACAACACATGTCATCTCAAGGCACTTTACAGTTCACCAGATTATACAGTCAAATTGATTCAAAGTTTTCTATCTAAGGAAAACCAGTTGATTGCATGCTATGAGAAAAAGCAGAGCATAGTGTTAGAGTGTGAACTAACAGGTTCTGCAGAGTGGGAGAATAGAGATAGAATGATGAAATAAGGGATATGAATTGATCATATCCTTTATTTCTAAATTAGAAAACCAGATAGCATTTATTCGGAATCCAAAATGGTAATCAAACTGAAAGCACAAACACACTCAGCTGCACGGTTGCTAACACTAAAAGTTACGTGCCAAGGTCATGAGGATGGGATGCTGTTTAATAATTCCTGCAGTATAGAGTTTGAAGTTTTTCTTTTATCTCCAAACAGCATCTGAACAAAACATACAACACCGATGTTCCTCTGGTCCTCATGAACTCCTTCAACACAGATGAAGACACCAAGAAAATCCTGCAGAAGTACAATCACCACCGGGTCAAGATCCACACCTTCAACCAGAGCAGGTGAGAGCCGCTACAAATGGAAAGCACTTTGCTTTCGCAGCCTCTGTTATTAACTCACCACTGTGGGTGAATTTTGTTCCTGAATGCAAACCGTCTAGTAAAATGTGGACAGGCCTGTTTGTTCTGAATGTTTTGGTGTTTGTGTTTTCAGCTTTCCCTTTTACACCTCTAATTGAGTTAATCATCCGTATACATGTTTTGCATGTTGTGTCGTTCAAAGGTTTTTGTTTTATTTTTTCTGAGGCAGCAACAGCTGCAGGGCTATTGGAAGGAATGTTGAAGCTACAACAGTAATGCATGAAAATCCTGTTACACAGGCTGATGTTTTAGGTTCTGATGGGAACGTAATCCACAAACTTTGCTGCTGCTCTCATGTTTTGGCTTAAAAACTATCTGATATCAGGTAGAAACAAACAGAATAAAAGAGTAGGGTTGGGAATTGATAAGACTTTCACGATTCCCTTATCGATTCTGTGAAACGATTTGATTCCTTATCGATTCTCTAATCGATTCTGTGAAACAATGAACTTGGTAAGTGCAGAGTGACATTCGTCTACCTTCGCCTGGGTCATTCTGTTTCTGCCTACCTGAAAAGGCAGAAACAGAAGGTGGTGAATAAGAGCTGCCAGCCTCTGAGCAGCCAGGCTACCTGTCTCGTCACAGTCATCTATATCTAATGGAGAAGGCATCCGTTTAATGAAAAAGCATTACTGTACAATTTCGGGAAATAAACTCATCTCCCCCTGATTTACATAAACGAGCATCATCTTGCTGATGCAGATTCTCAGTCATCCAGATCATAGTCATTCCGTAAAAGTAAAAAAAAAAAATCCTGAAAAAATGTCTGACATTTGAATTGAGAAAGCTTCCTGGAGAGGTGGCGTTTTCGAATCTTGGAAACCAAGTCCAGTGGATTTTTTTTTTTTTTACTTTTAGGGAAGCGCGTCATCTTTCTCTCGCTCCCAAAATTGCGGAGCAACTTTGTAGCATGTTTCGTTAAATTAATTGCAATAGCTAGAATCATGTAAGAATTCCAGCTACCAGTAGTTCTGATTAAACATGCTAGCAATAAAGGGCGGGATTAACGAGAAAGGCACACTCCCTTAATAACCCTAAAGAGAGGTAGGAAATTGGTTTATTTCCAGAAATGGTATTTGATTTACTAGGAACCACATGAAGCACAGTCAGTGATATAAAACTTAGCTACTACCACCAGAGTTGCCTTCCATGCTGGTCGTAACTTTAGCTTCTGTCTGGAAGCATAAAAAACACGGCATTCGTTAAAATGTATGCCATGTTGTGTGCACAGGTGTTTCTGCATGTTGGATGTATTTCCTCCTGCACATGTAATTGCCACTTTGCAATGATTGCAATGCCACTCTGCAACTCTTGCAATAAAAGCACCTTGTTGCCATCTTTCTCTTCCTTTAAATGAAGCCAAATTTTCGATCTCTTTGAGCGCTTTTGTTTTGCTTTTCTAGACTTATGCCTGGTCATGTCGTACTTGCTTACTGAATGCCGTGTGCATAAATTGCGTTAAAAAAGCGTGATGTAAGTCGTGCTGCCCACCGCTAGGCTCTGGTGCTGCCTGGAATCGTTAGGAGAATCGTTAAGCGAGCTGCCAAACGGTGCCATGGAGCTGGAACACACAGAACCGGTTCTGAACAGGAACTGGTTTTCGATTCCCATGCCTATAAATGACACATTAATCTTAGTGAAATGTATTAATAGCAAAGTAAAATTCTGTCACACAGGAAAATAAACAGAATTCAAAAAGAACATTCTAGAAAACACTAGAATAAGAAATGTTTGTCATGATGATAAAACTTTGCAAAATGAAATTAAAGCTTACTCAGTATTTACATCTTCGTCTATATTTTGATTTGCTCATAACTTTATTTATTCATTTTACTTATCAGTTTATAATTAATGTTTTCTCTTGGTCTGCTGGTATATAGAGGACCAACTATGACATCATTAAAAATAATACATAAATGCTCAATAAATATATAAACATGCAATTATACAGGCAAAATCAAATCAATACATGTAACTATTAAATCATGCAGTTTGAAATAAATGTATGAATATATTTTTATTAGCTTTTCTTTTAAATAATCTTTATAATAATAAAATTTTTATGGTATATCATTATAATTTTCACCTTCATTAAATTATTTGTTATATGTATTTATTTCTGTGTTTGGTTTTATATATTTTTTTACTCCTTTCATTTCTTCCATCCCATTTATTTCTTTTTTTTCTGTTTGCTTCCATCTTTCTTCTCAATATGAAAATGAAAGAAGGTTCATCTTTAGGGGAAACCTTCTACCTGTTGAAGATGCTACCCGGCCAGCCTCATTCACAACAAACATGGCTGCCTACCATGAGGTTATCAGTTAGCTGCAACTTTATTTTAAAACACTGATAGAACTGCTGACTTCATTGGTCGGACAGGACGTGTGTTTCTGTTTCCTGCACAGATGGATTTTAGTTGTATGTTATCCTGATCGCCCCCCAACAGAAGTTACCGCCTGTTTGCATTTAGCAGAGAAAGGAATTCAGTCTCCATCTCGTTTCTGACCAGATATGTTTGTTAAAACATGACAGAAGTGTAACATTAACCTCATCGTTGAATTAGTTACATATGAGAACATTTGCTCAAAATGAGGAGAATGACATCTCAAGTTCTCAACAAGTGAACAGCTCTGCTCATTTCTAGACCTCTGACCAGAATACTACAGTAGTTGCTCATCTCTAGCATTCCTGTTTTTCAGCTCTAAAACACTCAATCATTTTCTCTATTACCATCGGCTGAACTTTAGTCTCACTTGATTGGGCAGGTGTTGGAAAATTGGCTCCCAAATAAGGTTTTTGCTAGCCTGACGTAGTCCTACTCAATTCTAGTCAGAATATGAGTCTGATACTGCTCCATAGAGCTGTGATTATGGGGCGTGTTTCGAACGAACCAGGAAAAAAAATGCCTCTGCACTCAATTGGATAGACCTACAACCAATAAGAGCAACGGAGTGCGTGACGTATGTTAAGCGAGGCATAGTTGTTGTCCACAAAAATCAAAGCGTGCAGTTTCGCGTTTCTCTGTTCCTCTTTTAAAATTAATTTGCTGTCGATATCTTCTAGAATAGACCTAATAGCAGAATCTACTCACCCAAACTCTCCAGCGGCAGCCATTGTTGTTGTCACCCTAGCGCGCTTTGGTCACGTGGTTGATTACGTTACTGTTGATCATCTGTCCATCATCGTATAAAGTCCGCCCTGACAATTTGATTGGATCGCCTGACAGTGGGCTTTAATACTCGCGCTACTATGGAGCAGAGCCAGACCGAACTTCCCCGAACTCAAACCTTGTGGGCGGGACTAAGTTCTGACTGGCACCCAGGCTAGGTTTTTGCAACAACTCGTTCCATCTTATCAGAATCAGATTTATTGCCGAATAAGGTTGCACTTAAAAGTAACTTGACTTGGTTTGATGGTGCAGAAAAATTATATATATAGAAATCCTGGTGAGAACTCAAAAAATTCAATAAAACAGGTTAAAGGTTCACCTTAAAGTTTGCCTTTTAAGCTACAAGGAAAATATTTTTTCTTGGAGTTTAAGCTAACATTTTTTCCTACAATGATTTAGGACGAAACCAGGTGACATCATTTTTTAATGATATATTTTTAGCCTTACAGTTGTTCTGAGGGACTGTTTTAGAGGAGGTGGGAGGTTAATGGAGGACAAAACAAACATGTTGGGATTTTCTTGAAATGGAAGTGAAGGTTTTTAAAGATTTTTCCGTTATCCTCAGAACTTGGGTTAATCTTCCTTTAATAAGACCTTCCTCCTTCTGCTTTCTAAATCTTTTCTCCTAATAAGCTCACGTGGGTCTGAATTTCCTCGAACTGCCAGTCCCCCTCCAGCGTGACTCCTGGTGAAAAGTGAAGCAATGTGACGTGAATCCTTGGTAGAAACGCTTTGATCTGTCTAAGGCTCACATTTATGATGGCTCAGAAAACTGAGCTTCGTTCCTCACTGACAGATATAGAATGTATGAAGATTATTTAAAGTGGCGTTGGAAAACGAAAAAAGAAACTGAATATTTCCTCAATCAAACCCATTATTATCACACCTGTCCAGGTATCCCCGCATCCACAAGGAGTCTCTCCTCCCCGTAGCTGCTAATCTGAACGTCACGGGCCAAAACGCGGACGGCTGGTACCCTCCCGGTCACGGCGACATCTACGCCAGCTTCTACAACTCGGGCCTGCTGGACCAGCTGATCAAGCAGGGAAAGGAGTACATCTTTGTGTCCAACATAGACAACCTGGGAGCCACCGTGGACCTGCACATCCTGCACCACCTGGTCAGCCAGCCCAACGGCAAACGCTGCGAGTTCGTCATGGAGGTGACGGATAAGACGCGCGCTGACGTCAAGGTACATGACCCTCAACTTGGTTGTTTATAAGTAACGAGACTCTTATTTTTCATATTTTCTAATATCACAATTGTCACCTCTTGTGTTCCCAGGGAGGCACCCTGATCCAATATGAAGGAAAGCTTCGTCTCCTAGAGATCGCCCAGGTTCCCAAATCTCATGTGGACGAATTCAAGTCGGTTTCCAAGTTTAAGATCTTCAACACCAACAACCTTTGGATCTCTTTGCCTGCCATCAAGAGGCTGCAGGAACAGAATGCAATGGACATGGAGATCATCGTCAACCCAAAGGTGAGGGAGGAGGACATGAAACACTTTGTTACTCTGGTCCCATTGGTCTGCACTGGACGGCTTTAGCTAAAGCCAATCATAGCTTATTAAAGTGATAACGTCTCATCTCTCAGTCGGACAGCGGCTGCTCTCTTATCTTACTCCAGAGCCTCTGGAGCAGAGTTCACGGATTAGCGGACCAGGTTCTGGAACCCCCACCCACCTGCTGACTAATCCGGATCTAACCTGATTTCAAACATTTATAAATTACTGCATGTTGTCCAACGGCAATGTCTAAATTCATTTTACGCCGCTTCTCCTGTTAATATGATAAAGCCCTCCAGAGCGACCGGCACCAGGCTATACGTGATTCAAATTAGCCAATAGCTGCTGTCAGTCTGGGTTGCTGCTGCTGCTACTTTTAGACACAAACCTGTAGTAAGCCGGGCGACGGGAAAGAAGGAGAAGACGATGAGAAAAAGAGAGCAGAGAAAGTGTGGACTGCTGGAAGAACTGTGGTGAACTGGTGAAAGAAAAGTGAAACGGTGCTCAAAGATGACCCTGAACATTTAGAGTATGTTTGGCTCAACCTGCTGCTGTGAAGCAGGATTCTCCACCATTAATATAATCAAAAATGAATATCAATCCAGGCTCAAAATGATCTCCTTGATATGTGCTTTAGAATGGCTTAGTCTCCATTCAAACCAGGTTTAAAGCCTTGCAGGGCAGCATAAAGCCCACTGCTCTCATTAAGACAGAAAATAGAAAGAAAAATAACGGTCAGTTCAGGTGTTTTATAAAATATGTGAATCAGGAAACGTTTGTTGTTTCCCAATTCCAAAACAATTTAGATTTTAAAATGGTACAACTTTCTATTTTTTTATATTTTTTATTTAAAAAGTCTATGTAGAACATGAATGCATAAAAACCTAATTTTATTTCAGTGTTAAATTCTGTTAAAAGTAACAGATTATAATAAAAAATGTCTCTGGACCTTTACTGGTTAATGATTTCCTTTATTCGGACCCCGCTGGTTTTTAATTGGTTACCCCTGGTCTAGAAGAAACACCATCCGCTTCTGTTTGTTTTCGTTTCTTTGCTTAAGTTCAGTCACGGAGGTTTGACATCCGTGTAATATTCCATGGCCGATTCAAAGATAGCCATTACCATAATGACAAAGCATGAAAAGACAGAATAAACAGTTTAAGATAAAGCAGCCAAAAAAAAAAAAAACATTAGTTCATTTTAACCATAATGAGCTCAGTCTTCACAACTTGAAAGAAAGATACATGAGTGACGTCTTTGATTGGAAAAATGAGGCAAAAATTCAGCAACTATAAATAACATCTGACACAGTCTCCCATTTATCAGCCTCTTTTCAAAATGGGCAAAACAGAAGAACATATC